GAAAACTGCTATTCTGGCGCCGGGAACGATCTCCAACTATCTCAAGCACACATAATCGTGCTTTGATGCACTCCTTGCAAGGTAAGATGCGTCACTTTTGCAATGTTGACCTTGCGTGACGTCATTTATGACGTCATCAAGGTCATATTAGTTTTTCGTCAATAACTCTTGATCAAATTGAGCTAGCGAGTCGAGAAAGCCACCAATGGACTCAGGAAGACCTGCCGAATCGAATGATATGCGACATGACCTCTTTCGACCAACTTCGTGACCTGGGGGTGCTGACCTGACCTTGACCTGAGGTCAACACCCCAAGTTGACCTGACCCGGACAAAAAGTATATCATTCGACGCGCCTGAGCGAGGCGAACACGATGCTGCCAAAATCGCGGCTCTGCGGCCGTTTTTTGCGAAGTTATTCACCATAAACTGAACCGTACCCTGGGGCACTTGACCTGACCTCAGAGGTCACCGGTTGACCTAGGACCTTAAAATCGGGTACCAATCTCTGCGTCTCGTAACGGCACACACGCTCGTTTTTTCCGCGACGCGCTAGCTCCACCAGGGGCGAAACGGCGAGGGGGGGGGGGTCGTACCCGCCCCCCCCCCTCGGCCGGCGCGTATGTAGAAAACCAATAGGTCCGGCGAGGGTTAAACCATGACACCAACAGGCTTCTGACGACGAATATCGTCCGGGTAGCAGGAGCAATGCCGGATGGACCAGCTGCCAAGATTCTGTCGCTTTGGGGGTCTCTCTGGGGCTCAACCTTGGAATTCTTTTCATTGGACCAGAGGAATGCCAATTGTTACCGGCGCTTCTGATCTCCATTATCTTTTGGGCTCTGTGTAGCCGCTTTTCCCTGGATGCCGCCGAAATTAGGTGCCGACGTTGCATCTTGTATGACTTGAAGCCCAAGCCGTCGTTTATGATCCTCCTGGTCGTTCTGGGTGAAACACCGAGGTCCCTTGGCAGTTTGCGCATGCTTCGCCTGGGGTTTGAAAACACCTTCTTGCGCACGATATCAACCAGCTTTTCGAAGGGGAAATCGCTTGTTCTGCCCGGGACGGACTTCGTCGACACCGACCGTGTCTTTTTAAGCCATTTTATTACACTGTAAACAGTTTTTGCGGCAACACCGAGCTGTTTGGCAACGCTTCGGTAGCTGTGGTCAGCCTGCTTCAGCGCCGCAATTTGGGCTCTCTTAACCTTTGCCCTGGCAGAGCATTTTTCATAACGCGCGGCCTGGCGGCGGGGGGGGGGGGGTCGATGCGACCCCCTGGCGTTTCGAAGCTAAGCGTCGTAGCGCTTTGCAACAAGGACCAGTCGATTGCTCTCAACGAGTACTCGTGATTTTTGGTATATTGTTGACCCTAGGTCGATATTTGACCCAGTTATGGCAGGTCAAAAGTCAAATTTCGTCCCATATTTGTCGGTTAAAGAGGGAAAGCTCGTACAAGGCTTGGGTCAAAAGTTATTGCAGAAAAACTGTTTCCGAAAAAATCGGCTGTTTTTGCAGTTTTTGCCCCCTGCAGGCAAAACCGTTGACGTTAGGTCAAATCTGAGAGGATTACTCAGAAAGGGCGCTAATAGGGCTATCGAATGCGCTTTTCCGCGGCGCTGTAGCTCTATTGGTTCCCGAGATATGCGTTGGCATTTTGGAAATTGTCGACATTCGACCTGGAAATCGGCGAAATTTTGCCTTCAATGACCTCTGGTGACCTGACCTTTGACCTGACCAAAAAATGGCCGATGTGATTTCGTCATTATTTTTGGCGCTCTTTCGAACGCCGCCTTCCGCGTATCGCTACGTGGCCCAGGAGCCGAGTTAGAAGGGGGGGGGGGTGTTCAAACACCCCCTCCCAGCAGGGCGTGGAAATCCAGGACCCCCAGCCGGGCGCGGGTTAACCCTCGCCCGCACATGGGGGGGGGGGTGGTTGCCACCCCCCCAGGCAGTCTTTCTGCTCTGCACTCAACATTTTTAGAGCTAGAAGGCTGATTTTTCGTATAGCTGCTCGTCTATCCTTTCTTGATGTCCACTGAAAATTTCAAGTTTCTGTGATTTTTGGTTTCGGAGATAGGTATGACCTTGTTTTTCAGGTCATGTCATGACCCAAATGGCCAATTCTCAACATCTTGCGTTTGCCATGGGCCTTGTGAGCTTTTGACACCCTGATTTCGGCCTTTTTTGCCAGTCTTACCTCCCACCTATCATGGAACATGTTGTTCGACGATGTAAAGGGGTCAAGGTCAGGGTCAAGGTCAACCTAGGTCATCTAAGATAATTGCGTTTTAGGTAAGCTGAATTTACTTTTTGTGAAGTTTTTTGACTGCATTTTTGGTAAAAGCTTCTCATATCATGATTTCATGTGATATGGACCCAAAAACAATCGGTGCACACATCAGTATACACACAGACACACACAGACATACAAACACATATAATTGACCTTGACCTAACTTGACCTGAAATGACCTCAGCAGCAAAATTCTGGTCGGATAGTGTGATAAAGAGGTTCTAGCTGGCTTGGTACCAGAAAACAGCATCGTCATCGGTATTTGATAAGCAGCGCACTTGATATCCAACGGTGACCCAAAACAGCAACATTTTTTAGTTTGACCTGACCTGGAAGGTCAATGACTGACCTGAGAAGGTAAAACTGGGTATCATTGGATTCGTCTCTTCCCAAAGAATCTTTTTGGTCTTTACCGCTAAGCTCTATCTCCAACAGGAACGAAATGGCGCGGGGGGTGGCAACCCCCCCCCCCCCCATGTGCGTTCTAGGATGGGAAAATGGCATGTGCGGGCGAGGGTTAATCTCAGGGGGCTCCTGTGGCCAGTATAAATAAAAGGGCCTCTCAGACCATCAGTCTCGGGGGCCTCCCTAGAACATTGTGGATAGAGGGGCCTCCTCAGATTCACTGGGTCTAGGACCTCTCTGACCATTAGTCTCAGGGGCCTCCTCTGACTACTGTGGATAGAGGGTCCTCCCAGACCACCGGTTTCAGGGGCCTCCTGTGGCCAGTATGAATAGAAGGGCCTCTCAGACCATCAGTCTCAGCGGCCTCCTCTGACTACAGTGTGGATTGGAGGGGCCTCCCAGTCCATCAGTCTCAGGGGCCTCTTCTGACTAATGAGGATAGAAAGGCCTCCTCTGACTAGTGAGGGTAGGGGGCCACCCACACCGCCAGCGTCAGGGGCCTATTCTGACTAGTGTGGATGGATAGGCCTCCCAGACCTCCCAGGCCTCCCAGACCTTGAGCTTCGTATGAATTCCCTCTGGCTGTGGCCCAATGTTCAAAACATTCGCTAACCGTGTGGCATTCTTTCTCAGGTGACGGGCGCCGACGGCAACGTGGTAGTGTTCCGCAAACTGCTGCTCACCCAGTGCCAGCGCGAGTTCGAGAAGGACAAGACGTCCGAGCTGAACCGCGACGAGCGTCAGAAGGAAATCGACGCCGAACAGGACAAGGAGAAACGCAAACGCATGACCTTCGAACTGCAACAGGAGAGCGTCAAAATCCGACGGCGCTCCAACGGAAACATTCGCTTCATCGGTGAGCTGTACAAGCTCAACATGCTCTCCGATCGCATCATGCACCACTGTATCGTCAAACTGATCAAGGATAAGCACGAAGACTCGTACGAGTGTCTCTGCATACTGATGACCACCATCGGAGAGAAGCTGGAGACGGCCGAGCGCAAGCGCGGCAAGGACCTCAGCCAAATGTTCGCCGACTTTAACCGACTGGCCACCGACAAGAGTCTGGCGTCCCGCATCCGGTTCATGCTGCAGGATCTGATCGACATGCGCAACAACAACTGGGTGAACACGCGCACGGTGGGACAGGCCAAGCCGATGACGATCGAGGAGGTGCACAAGCAGGCGCGCCAGCAGCAGGTCGAGCAGCAGGCGATGCTGGCTCAGGCCGAGGACAGACGGCGCAACGAGCGCGGCACCGACCGGCGCCGTGGCGGCGGCGGCGGCGGCGGCGGCGGTGGCCGGGACGGCGGCCGCGGCAGCCAGCCGGGCCCCACCGACGGATGGAGCACTGTCAGCCGCAGCCGGTTCGACACGCCCCGCATGCTGAACGCGATCGGCAGCGGCGCCAGCCAAATGGAGGCCGGCGCGCTCAAGATGGGCCCCGGCGGCGGCAGCTCGTGGTCGTTCGGCTCCAAGGTGGGCTCTGGCCGGCGCAGTGGGCCGGCGGCGCCCGCCCAGCCCGAGGTGCGCACCACGCCCAACATGTTCGGCATGCTGCAGGAGGACGGCGGCGGCAGTGTGGCGCCGACCGTCCGGCTGGGCCCCGGCGGCGGCGGCAGCGGCAGCGGCGGCCGGCTGGGCCCGACGCGCGGCTCCACCGGCCGCGACGCCCAGAAGCCGGCGCCGGCGGCCGGCGGTCCGCAGCTCAAGGGACCGGATACGATGGACGACGAGAAGATGCAGGGCCTGGTCCGCCTCATCTGCGAGGAATACATCGACTCGAAGGACTACAAGGTTAGTGTGCCGAGCCCCGGCAGGTCGAGCAGAGAGGCCCTTCTTTTCCCTGGGTTTGGACATTATTCAAAGCGGTTTGATTTGTAGCAATGCATTGTATTGGCCGCGAAAACCTACCTCAAGCCTAGTGGTTTTCACTTCAGTGATATCAGCTACAGTAAAGAGTCTGCTTAGCTGCAGTCCTTTACTATTGAAGGCACCGTTAGAATATTGACTAACATGACATGTCCTCGTTTGAATGTTGATTGCGTGACACCCTCAGAATGCTGTCTTTTATTCGACGATGGCTTTTATGCTGTTGTTCTTCCTGAGAATGGTTTTGCAAATCAAAACCACGAAGCAGCACGAACACGAATACCGAATTTTACCTATATTCTTCTTATTCACTGTGCTGGGTGATACCAATAAATGTTTAGCAGCTATCTTCACGTCGTTAGTGTATCAATATCACGCTCTGTACAGGACCTCCGCCACCCCCTCTGACCTCCCCTCTGCCGTCCACAGTCGAGCGTTCAAGATGTCGAGGAGAAGCTGCACGCAAACACTGTGGCGCGCTTCGTCGGTGAGTGCCTCAACAAATACGTGGACGCGCGCTCCACGGAGCAGCGCCACCTGATGGGCGAGCTGCACCGGAACATGCTCGAGAGCGGCCACCTGACGGCCGAGGCCTACCTGACCGGCGCCAAGGAGCTGCTCGAGGTGGCCAGCGACCTGGCCTGTGACATCCCGTCGCTGTGGGCCAACCTGGGCGAGCTGCTGGCGCCGCCGCTCACCGCCGGACGTGGCGTGACGCTGGAGAGGCTGGCCGCGCCGGCCGCAACCATCGTGGCCGACCGCTACGGCGCCAAGTTCGTGACGGGCGTGCTGAAGCGGCTCAAGTCGTTGCATGGTGCCGACAAAGTGCGCTCCCTTGTGCCGACCAACTTCGACTGGAAGCTCTACTTCGGCAGCGATGACCACGTCCAGCCGCTGATTAACGTGAGTGGCCGGCCTGGCCGGCCTGGTCCAGGGCAGCGGGGGAGGGTATCGCAGTACTCGCAGCGATAGAGATATCTTGTGCAACTTGTGAAGTGAAAAATCTCAAATACCTAGCTCTAATACACTAATGTGTCATAATCATTAATATGAGTCAAATTAACAAAGATGGATCTGATATAGTATCTGATTCTGCCTTCTTTAAGCTGCTTTAGTGACCAATGTCAGTCCTGGCCGTTTGTACGCCGGCCTTTTCCGTAGTCCACATCACTGTCATGCCTGATATTCTGAAGTATCAGCCGTCCCCGCGCGTCCACTAGCTCACACTGACGCTCCCTCCCCGGCGGCCGACAGGCTCAGCTTGGCTTCCTGGTGGCGGGCGCCAATGTGCCCCTCTCGCTGGAGGAGGCGCCCACCAGCAAGGGCGTGCGCGGCCTGCTTCGTGTCGTCCAGGAGGAGTCGGACATTAAGGCCTGGGTGCTGAAGAACGTTAGCGAGGAGGATCGCGCTTCGACCGCCTTCATCAAGGATTTGGTCAGCGCTCTCTGCTTTGACTGTATTGTGATAGGTGAGTAATTGTGATCGCAAATTCGTGAGGGACGGGAAAACAGACCTGGTTTTGGACGGGGTATATTATGAGAGGAAGGAAGGCAAGGAGTCGGCTGGAGGGTGAATGGGCCAACATTTGGCCACGTGCCGGGCCTCCTGGTGCGATTGGGCGATGTGGAGCGTGGCCCGACGTTCCGCGGGATTGCATCAGACACTTTCCTCCCCTCCCCTCCCCTCCCCGGGTGGCCGAGCCATGGGGCCATTGTCCGTCTGTCCCCTCCTCCCTCCGTGCGAACCGGCCAATCAGGCCGAGTTTTATTTATATCCATCGCAACCTTGAGAGAAGTCATGCCAATAGGACGAGCTCGATTACTGAATGTCTCCATCTTGCAATTTTCCATTTAAGTCTACTCACAGATAACAGTAGTTCGTCTACTTAAATGTACGAGTGCACCGTTTTAAAGCCATCAGTTACTCTGCTCTCTGCGTTGGTGCTGTTAATGGCCCAGTGCTGCTGCACAGTAGGTCGAGTCATTCCACCTAACATATTCTCTCCGTCTGACCTCTGCGTGTCTCCCCCTGCCCGCAGATAACGGTGCCAAGCGGGTGCAGCTGAAGCGGCTCGAGGACCATGGCGCCCTGCTCAAGTGCCTGATTGTGAAGGAGGAGCTGGAGCTGGCCGCGCTGTACGGCGTGATGGCGCTGGTGCGGCATCTGCAATTTCCCCCGGGTGAGTCGATGGCGCTGCGGTCACATGTGCACAGCGGGTGGGCGGGATGGACTGGAGTTGATGGGATGGTCGGCCATATGCGTTTCCAGAGTGCTGGATAACAATAGGGCCAGCCTGGTGGCCATTTTGAATGGAAACTTTAAGGCGCTTAGCAGCTGGTATACCATGGTAGAAAATGGGTTTGTTGCGGGGCTTAGTAACGCGTCTTATTTCTGTTTCTGCAGTCATATCATTTTTTGTGTGCTTTGAAACCGTGTGCTTTTCTATCAATGAGCGTTTCCCACCTCACCGTTTTGTCAGCTCTCTGGCGCGTGGCCACATATTCTGACCGTGTCCCCTCTGCCACGTCTACAGGCATGCTGGACCAGTGTTTCCGTCAGCTGTACGACATGGAGGTGATTTCGGAGCAGACGTTCTGGCGCTGGCGCGACCAGAAGGACAGTGCCGAACAGGAGGGCATGGGTGTGGCGCTCACCGGACTAAAGGCGTTCTTCAAGGCGCTCGAGGATGACGCCGGCGATGACGAAGAGCGCACGTGATAGCCGGTGACACTTAGGATTAATTTCAGAGGCGCGCGAGCGCCGGGCTCGCCACAGAGAGCGAGCCAACGGACGCCTGACAGTGACGCCATGTGTCTGGGAGATTGTGCAAGTGCGTGTGTGACCTGGAGTGAGAGGCGACGACGGCGGCTCGGCCGCAGAGGGAGACTAGCGCCGCCAGTGGCCCAACGGCGCGGCGACACCGCGTTAGTGATTTTGTATCGCGAATACGAAACGTGGTTCATTTTGCGATGGCTATGCGCATTATTTAATGAACATTGTAAATCTAATAATCTTGGCCTATTATCCTGTGTGTTGTGGATGCGATCCGCTGTGTCGGTTTTGTGCAGTTGTGTACATAGTTTGATGACGGCGGACGGGGCAGTGGGCAGGCGGCGGGGCGCCACACCGCCCTCGGTTCGGCGCGCTTTATATCATAAAGCAAATTATAATTTTATAAATAAAAAATAAAAACACATCTTTGGCGTTTCGTGGGCAAGACGAGTTACTATTGAAGCTGAGGTTAGTAGCCCGGGTTTAATGGAAGAGGGAGATCGGAATGCCGGTGGAGGTGACACCTAGCGCTGTCACCAGTCGCCGACTATTGACTGGGCTGGTCATGAGCTGTGGCTGCGCACAGACTTCGATGGGGGATGAGGGTGACGTTGGGAAGCTGGGACGTGACCCAGAGAGCTTGAGTTCCGGGCACGAACCGAAGTTTAGCGTGAAAATCATTTGGCATGACCTCTGTAGGCCATAGATTTGGGTAACTATGTCATTCTTAGTTCAGTCGTTTTTTTTCCGGCATCTGTAGTTGCCGGTGACGCTTTCTCGCGGCTGCCTGCTGTTTCCAGTACGCAGTTCTTTGACGACAAGAGCCCAGTCAGTCAATATTCCTTCGTTTCGGGAAGCGAGTTATGTCGAGAAACGACCCGATTACACATTTAGCTGGCTGTATTGGTGCGTCTCAGCGCCTGGCCATGGGGTTTCTAACATGACAAATACTCGAGACACAGTGTGTCACCGGGCGGACCTGACACGGCTGACACAGTATGACGGCCAGGCCGACACAAACACGAATGGTTACAGCGCGGCTGGCCAGCGCACCAGCCAGTCTCACAGCGCTAGCAACAGGCGGCACGGGAGAGACTCCGCCGCGCCTCCAGCGGCGCCGGGCGCGACTCTCAGCTGAGTCAGTCGTGACTCCGAGTCAGAGTCCAGAACCACACCGCGCCGAGAGGAAGAGGCCCGCCCGCATTTGAACTTGACTCCACGCCGATTCATCCGGCCTCAACACACTCACACAACGCACTTACACGCACACACAACCAGCCAACAAAACAAGCGCTTCGCACCACTGACCATCACACGTAGCGGCGCACTGCGAGAGACTACACACCACGCGCGCGAGGAGCGAGGTTACGCAACGGCCGGCGACCACCCTTCTCTCCTCCCTGCTCTTCCCTGCCCGCCGACCGCTTCACATAGCTCAGGAAATCATCATATATCACAAAACATAAAAGCAGCTAGGCTAGCATGCCGCTCACTCGCGGCTCGAATTGCCCAGCGCCACAGGCCGGGATGTTCGTTTTTCTCGAGGGCGAGCGATGTGAGCGCCCCCTGGTCTGGCGGACGGCTAGCGCCGTCCATATTCACTAGGCGAGCGGTGTCAGTCTCGCTTATTTGTAGGCCTGCTGCCGGAACATAGCGGTGATCTCGTCGATGGGCTTGTTCTTGGTCTCGGGGACCTTCTTCCAGGTGAAGATGACAGAGACGGCGAGCACGGTGGCGAAGATCAGGAACACGAACGGACCCATGGCGTTCTGCAAAACGGAGAATCGTAAGATTTGGGCCACGCACGGAGTACCCGGCATTGGGCAGACGATGTTGAACAGGCATCACGGAGCTGGAATGACATTCTGAGTCTGACAACTCTGACAAGTGACAGCTTCTTCACCAGATGCTGATGCGCAAATTATGCATAAAAAGCATGTCTTCTACAGTGTCCGGCACAAACTAAACATGGAATAAAAGAACCTTCAGCTTCTAACTAATACAGGCTGTCCCTATCAAATCTTGCACTCTCATTTCTCTCTCGCTCTCCCTCCCTCCCCATCTCTCCTGCCTCCCCTTTCTCCCCCGTCGAACAACTCACGGCCAGCGGAAGGAAGCTGACTCCGACGATGAAGTTGGCGGTCCAGTTGACGGCCACGGCGATACTGGTGGCCGTGGGCCGGGCCGACTGGGCGAACAGCTCACTGACAAGGAACCACGGGATGCTGCCCGGACCGGTGGCGAAGCAGACCACGAAGGCGATCACCAGCACGATAGAGATGTAGCTGAGCCAGTGCGCCTGGTCCTGTGGGGCGTGGAGAGAGGAGGGTCAGAGACGAAAAATTCAACCGCGCTGTTGGTATCGTTTGCCCGAGTTGAGCTACACGGCGTCACTTGCTTCATGATGCTACTGTTACATCTTATTCCACTCAGCAGGCCACAGACAACGTTGACCTCCCTCAATCGGCAGGCAAGTGAAGAAATGATCAGCGAACTTAAGCTGCAAGACTAAAAGAGCAATGCTGGTGCCTGACAAAACAAGAATGAGCAGGCAAAACAAATATCACAGAACCCGCTCGAGACCCACCTAGAACCAAGACTCCCTGTTAACTTAGCACCATTACACTGACCTTGAGAGCGAGGCAGAGCGTCAGCAGGACGGTGGTGGTGAACATGCCGCTGAGACCGATCAGCTGCAGGGTCTTCCTGCCGGCCTTCTCCACCAGAATGACGCTGACCACAGTCATCAGCACGTTCATCGCACCCATGCCCAGGGTGGCAGACTGGGCCTGCATTTCGTCCAGGCCGGCGCGCTTGTAGATGTCGGTCGAGAAGAAGATGACCTGAGAGAGAAAACGGGGAGAGAGGATCGGTTAGTGAATGAAAGATAAACGCGGGAGTCAACGGCATTCTGGGTGTGCGACGAGCTTTTTATATAAACAAACAATAAAACTCCAACCAAATGAAAATAGTGTGCCGTCAGATGAGCTAGCGTTCTTGGCACCACTTGCCATTAACGCGTCAACTTCATTATCATCAAAGCGTGTATGAGCACTTTAGCAACACTTTCATCGTGCTAAGCCGTTAAGGCTCTCTAGCTCGACAGGCAAACATTTCAGAGGAATTTCCCGAGAGCGTTTCCCCGAACCACTCAGCGGCATTGTTGTTTCATTAAAGCGTCCGGGTCATTTCATCCCAAAGTAGAGCTATCGATCACCGCCGGCTGACCTTCAAGATCCCGAGATCGTTACGGTCAAGGTCGCACCGAGAACAACAGTTTTGTGCGCGGGCCTGCGCCACAGTGTAATGGCAGAAGACCAAAGCGCTCATCAGTATCAATTACGAGATGAAATAGCGAGACGGCAACGCCTAGGGTGATATTTATCGTAGAAAATCTGCTGGGACCATTATCTATGGGCATCATGGCAAAAAGAAAATTTACATATAAGAAGGCGCGACTAAATGATTGGAAGTCACGCAACATCTGACAGTCGGATGAAGCCAAATACAAACTATCCATTGCCCTTTCTATCCCTCCCCTCTCTACTCACGGCGTTGATTCCGGACAGCTGCTGGGCCAGCATCATGACCACAGAGATGATGAGCGGCGCGCGGAGCGCCGGGTTCGTCACGATCTCGCGCAGGGTGACCCGCGCCGTCAGCTTGGCCGCCTCGTGCTCCGCCTTCATCTCCTCAATCTCCTCCTGGACCTCAGGCGTGCCACGGAGCCAGCTGAGAGACTGCGTGGCGGCCACCTCGTTATCCTTGTTGATGAGCGTGAATCGCGGCGACTCGGGGCACAGCGGCAGCACGGCCAGTTGGAAGATGGCAGGCGCGATGGTGAGCGCCAGCAGGTACGGCCACAGCTCGGCGGTGCCCAGCACGTTGCGCATGCCCAGAACTTGCGAGATGAGGATGGAGATGGTGACCAGAAGCTGGTACAGCGAGCCGATCTGTGGACGGGGTCAGGCATGGTCAGTGATTTAGGATTCAGTAGCCGTTTATCGACGCACACAGGACTATTGTCTGTTGTACTACGCTTACTGTTCCTTATTAATAACACTGTGCGTTTAGGAATATTTAACGTTTAATTAGTTAGATTTAAATTCACGATTAAGAGCAACTAACATTGCACAAGCATCGTGTGATTGATAAATATGCAAACACGCAACCGTTTGTTTTCTATCATTTAGCCACTCCATGTCGCAAAAAATAATCCTGAAGTTCAAATACTAATTTCCGGTCCACTAAGGTCAAATCATAAGTTCAACTACCCATCCCTCTGGCGTTCCCTGCCGGCACTCACGGCGCCTCGCAGGTGGATGGGCGAGATCTCGGTGAGGTACATGGGCGCCAGGCCGGCGTTCAGGCCGCAGTTGACACCGCAGAAGAAGCGGCCCACGATCAGCATCTCGTAGCTGCCAGCCAGCGGTGAGAAGCCCTGCAGTATGCCGCCGATGATGGCGAACAGGTTGTTGATGAGCAGACCGCCCTTCCTGTGGGCAGAAAGGTTCGTGGGTCAGAGTCGTGGTGGTGATAAGATCTCATATAGTGTAAGTGGCGGAAGCGGAGCGGAGCATGAGAGGGTTTGTCTTTTGAACGGTGTCCCGTGGTACAATTTGCTCGGAGGACGCTTATCTGTATTTGTTTCTTTAGACTTCAACTGCCTTGTGAAGAACACATATCACATCAAGGGACCAGAAACACAGACCACATAATCGCAAAACGTACTAACTACATTTTCGAAGTACGTGATGCCTAGTCATAACTGAAAATGCCACCGAAACTCCAGCCACCCACGTCCCAGCGCCTCAAGAAAAAAAACCCACATACCTTCCGAATTTGTCCGAGAACATGCCGGTGAACATGGCGCCCAGCATGCCGCCCACGCAGAAGATGGAGACGGTGACGGACCAGATGCCGGTGATGCCCTCGGGAGAGATGTACTCGCTGTACCGACTGTAGTATGTGCCGTTCACCCATTGCTCAATAATCTGCAACGAGACGATAATACGACCGGTGAGAGGGCGGTAAAAGTATGGACATTTGGTCGAGCGGCAATGCACATTGCACACTGGTAGCTGTGAAATTAAGGATTGTTTTTCTAATTATATGCTTGAGAGATGTAGCGAATATTGCCTTGAATGCGTCATTCGCGTGTCAGTGCGTAAAACTGTTCCTAGATGGCGTTAGCTGAAAGCGCCTGTAGGTATGCTGTACCGCGTAGCATGGGAAACTGCATAGTGTGGAACAGTTGTAAGAGCTTACAATGCGAAAGGTAAAATGAGTATCAGCTGCGATTTAGCACTTGAAAATAGTTCCCATGAAAGTATTGAGCTAATAATGTGGGCTGCAAGTGCACATCCACCTACCTAGAGACGGCACTTCAGTTTAAATTTGACACCCATTGGAGTCAACGTTACACAATAAAGTGTTTATAAAAATGAAAACAAAACGGCACTCCTTGCCTAATATACACGGTCATCCCAGTCACACATGATACCGCTGTTTATTTGACGCTGCCGATCACTAGCCTCAACCGTGCTAGAGCTCATAATCATCCTGTGTTTGCGTGGCCACTGAGCTCGGATTATCAGTGATTGCCTTTGTTGATAGGATCCCGCTGTGTGAGAGGCAGGCCCCTGCACTGGAGGGGCGGGGTGGAGGCGCAGCCGCCGGGCAGTGACTCTGGTAGTGGCCTGACGCGGGGGGGGGGGGGGGGCGCCACACCCGGTTTGCATGACCTTGTCCGGCCCGCGTGGCTCGGCCGTCTCGAGTACGCCGGGCCGGGTCTGGCCTTCAATAGGCCTGGCCTGTGCCAGACAGCCCCGTATCAGTGTCACGATCCTCATGGTCACCTCGCGTGAGCGTGATCGGTTTGTATAAGATTCCGCGCCGAGCTCCGTATGGAAACGCCATGCTGTGTAGGTATTTCGGATCGGACGGCTGCAAAGTGGGTTCTGGGAATACTGGCGTACCCTTCGGAATGTTCAGATAAAGGGGATGTGCGATCGATAGATGAGCTTCGAGCCGCCATTCCCTTTCCTCCAAAAGGCGAAAACCTTAGAATAGACCGTGAACGGTGTTCCATTTCAAACGGTTTCCTTTTATATACTTGGGAGTTGGGACCGGTGCTGCACTTTAAACGATTCCTCTATATATTCATAGTAAAACAATCGTTTTAACGCTGGAGGAATTAAAGCTAAAACCACAGCTTTGTAGTGTGTGCCAATTCTGCCAGTTGCCACAGGGAAACTACAGGAACTAGAAATGAAATTTCAAGCGAAGGTATTCAGTTCAGTGCTGGCCATTCCTGTAGCGACAGCACTATTGGTAGCCCACGACTGGCATGAACTCCTGTATTTCTAGCCCCATTGTCCGTCACTCCGGAGCAAAAAGAACAGACCTTTTTCTGTAACCGGGGCCGGCTACGCCTTTCTCCAGGCGATAAGAATAGTCTGGAAATGAGCTGGCGCTCGGCGAGACTTCCGGGCCGTAATAGCGGTCCGTAGGGTCGGGACGGCCCGTTCTCAAGCGGTTTCCAAGCTCATTCAGAACGGCTCCCGGTTCTCCACTGAGCCGAGGCCCGAGGAACAGTCGAGAAACTCTATTTACTGGTCTGTGGATGCTTTGAGCCAGATTGCGATTATTTTTTCTTAGACGGGGCACTACTCGGTTGGTCACTTCGAGCCGGTTAGCGCACCTTCTGCGCATTCGCTTCGCTCTAAACGGATTGTGTTACAAAAGAGGTGTTAATTTATTCGACACCGTAAAATGAGTTAATTTATTCAGCGCTATTGGCTCGGTTAGCCTGAGGGAGCCCACGTCTCTGATTTACTGCTTACGGGACCGAGCCCGTGTGACGCAATATATCGGTAGTCGGACCGGCGTCAGCAGTAATTGCGGTGGACTTGGGTCGGCGCCTGGGGAGGGGGAGGAGGGACAGACAGTCGGCAGCCAGAGGGCATCCTACGCCACAGTCTGGCGTCAGCAGTACGCCACCCATGACCGCTGCCATAGCCGCGCTACTGACAGTTTGGCTTCCGTAAGCTGACACATGTCACTTGTCCGTACAGTCTGCAGTCTGAGCGACGGTTGAGACGCAATTGCTGACGAAGGAGCGGAAGCTCCAAGAAAACAATGATTCTGGCCTTTGGTAGCCTTTGCACCGCAGCCAAGCTTCACACCAATGATGAAACTCGGCAGATATATGGCGGTCTCAAAACGTCCAGCTGCTTCCATTGCAGCCGGACGCTGGCCATTCACAAGTGTCCGCACCGCCAGTTGCGAGGAGACAGTGCACCCAGCGCCCACATGCCGGTCGCTGTCATTACATAGAATCACCCACCGCCAGCCACCTCTATTGCCTGCTCCGTCCAACGGAGCCGTTCATCTCTGTCCGGACACATCGTGCAGCTCGGCTAGCCCGATTTACACGTGCAGGGCGTGCTGTCGACAGGTCGCCGGCAGGTCACCAGCTGACAGGCCAGACAGCCCAGATAGGCAGAATCTGTCGACAACCTGGCACACCTGTGCTGAAAGCTCACTTTTTAGCCGAAAAATGAGGACAGGTGGCTGCGTTCACGGCGACTTGAAATCCGGCAGCTGAGCTCGAATTCACCTGCCAGTGTTGGTTTTACAGATTGGACAAAAGCTTATTTCGAGCCGAGGTGAACGAGTAAATGGAAGAAGCGATTACTTTTAGCTGAAACGTTTAGGCGTAGTTTCCTCTAAAGCAGGGGTCGGCAAATGCTGGGGCATGCCCCCTTTGGGGGTAATGGAGCCCTTAGGCGGGGGGTAATGAGGGCCTCTGAGAAGGCATGGAATTATGAAATTATGGAATGGGACCAGGGCTGCGGAGTCGATGGATTTTAGGGTGACTCCGACTCCGGCTTCAAAAATCGACTCCGACTCCGACTCCCAACTCCGACTCCGACTCCGGACGGTTCTATTAAAATACATATCATGATATTGAGGTTCATAATGGAGATGTTTTTATCTTGCCTGAAACGATCTCTTGTGCTTTCCAAGGGGTTGCGTTGCAAATTTGCATTAAAAATAACATGCATAATTAAAAAGCAGGTTCTGGGGAATTCATCGTCTTCTGCTTCCTTCGCTGTAAACGTTCGTCCAAAACAGCAAAATGACTTTTTTTCGACAAAATCTAATTTCGAGCGCAGTATCGTCAATTAAACAGGTGCAGTGCATGACGCTGAGCCATGCAGCGTTAACTCCGACTCCGGAGTCGGAGTCGGTAGGATTTTGGCGACTCCGACTCCGACTCTGACTCCGGGCAGAACTGTCGACTCCGACCGACTTCAACTCCGACCCCGACTCCGACTCCGCAGCCCTGAATGGGACAGTATGGAATTTCGGTAAACTTGGTTGTCAGCAATGGGGTCTGGTAAGTGGTAGGTGGGGGTAATGGCCCTGCATGACACGCTAAAAGGGGGCACAACCCCGGAGGACCTGCCGACCACTGCTCTAAAGCTTACAAGCAATTAGTAGGTAATTGTGCCCCTACATCCTGACAGAAATATATCGAATAGACGTCCCTCGATACCTAAACGCATAGTCTTTGCCCATTCAGGCTAACGCACCTGGGTAATATATCGGAAATGATATTTCGTATGTATCTTCTAAATATATACCACTGCGATACCATCGTTACATCTGCAAATATGCCAATTGCCATACCATCCAATAGCCATATGACGATGCGCAGCCACCAGTTTTATCTTAAAGCCCATCCATTCACAGATGTGGTTCAACCGAGCATATCGATCAACGTCTTGCGTCATGTCAAGCATGTAACTCTGGGTTCTTTATAACCCCATTAGAGAAAGCGGAGCCACGACGACCTTTGAAGATGAGACGCGCGCAGCTGCGCACTGCCCGAGGCGGGGGCGGGGGCGGGGCGTCAGCTGACACCGCCTGAATCCTCAATACGCCGACCTCGCTCCAGACTTGGCCGGTCGCCGCGCCTCAGGGCATTCCGTGCCAGCAGTGTATTGATCCGCCCACCTGCGTCGACCAATCAGCGGCGGGGGCCGGCGCGCGGCAGCCAATCGCAGCGCTCCACGGAGGGGTGTGCCGCCACACGACCTCTGGCTGACATTGGACCAGTTGCCGGCGCCGCGTGACTTTGGGGAAGGGCACGCCTGCGGTACTGGGGCCGGGAACCGGTCACGGGTCGAGTCATCCACCGGCAATCGACCCACAGAAGTGCAGGGTTGCGTCAGACCGCCTGACCTGGGAGCCCTGTCGCGGACATGAGGGTCTTCGGGGCCCGACCCGAGCATGACGGACGTTCTGGCGTGATCAAAGAAGCCGATGTAGGACATCGTCGAGTGGCAGTGCGCTGAAGCGACTCTTTTTCGGAAGGCACAGCTCCGTTATGTTGCGTCAGCTTATGTGGTATGCTGCGCATGGAGCATGAGCAATATGTTGTCGAGCCAGGGATGCGAATGTGAAAACTTTGATTAAGTTCTTCGCAACTCTATGCGCCCACTTGTGATATCAACATGTCTCATTATCACAGATGCGCGCACATAAGTCAAATCACTTAGCTCGAGCTGATACACAGAACACAAACACTGCTCAGCGAGCCATTACCGAAAATGGACAAGAGCAGCAGTTTATAAGAATTAAGCACCCACCCTTCTTTCCGACTATTCTAGCCACCTGTGTATTGACAGATATCCCAACTACAAATTATTTTAATTAGTCCGCTGGCCACTTTGATCTGTCGAGACAGGTGGCCAGTCGTTGGACAGGTGCAGAAACTGGGACAGCACACACTCGGACTTGGCGGCGAGACTGGGAGGCCGGCCAAACGCCACGAACGCTGGTGAGACGGTCGGTTTGTACTTGTAGGACTACGCACTGCGACAGGCGGGGAGGGTAGACTGTACCGCACGACACACGGCGGGGTAGGCTGCGCCGCAATACATTACTGCTGCTGGTATGGTTAGACGTTGCGTGAAACGCACTG